TCACATCTCCCCCAATATAGAAAAAGCAAGTAAAAATGAAATATGAAATAAAATAAAATAAGAAAATAATGAGCCATGCAAATCTAGCATAATAAATGTTCATTGGCAAGTGTTCAATGTCTATAACCCCTTCAAAGTCCAATGATCATGGGCCTGGCCTTGTAGCCACACAGCAAGTTCTATTAAGTCTCTTTAGTATTCAAATGTCAATGTTCAATAATAGTGAACCATAACAAGTGTTCAACAAACTAATCAAACATGCGATGCTAAAGTTAGGTTCAGTGTTCAGTACTCAAGGTTCAGTAACTGAGGCCAAGAAGCATGACAGTCAAGTATTGTAATCTGCGAGATAGGATGGTCTTTTTACAATCCGTCCTGAGCGGGTCCTTGTTATCACACCACAGTCCGACTCAGCTATCTCTCGGTTGAGTTCAACAAGGGAAGTACCGGTATCCAGGGTGCTGCTTGACTCTCCTTGACAAGTTGAGTCACCGGTTGTGTCAGGAGTGTTTGAGACTTGTGGTGGTAAATTAGTAGTAACCTCAGGAGGCAGCTCATTGGTTCTCTTCAGATGAACTCTGTTTCGTCTGTAAGACGTCCCATCTCCTGTCTCCACTTCATATGACCTCTCATCGAGCCTTTCCACGACAACTCCCTTCTTCCACTCCTTTTTTCCCAGTACAAACGGCTTCATTCGCACAGTGTCACCCTCGCTCAGAGGGGGTAGATCTCGGGCGTTGGTGTTGTAATACCGGGCTTGCCTTTGCTGGACTTCCTTCAATTTCTCTCTCTCGTGAGCCGAGTTGAGTGTCCTTGGCTCCAACAGGGTGCTAGTTGTAGGCAGTAGAGTTCTTGTTCTTCTATTCATGAGCCTCTGGACTGGACTGCTTCCAATGCCTTGTGATGGGGTGTTGCGTTCAGCAAGGAGCCCCAAGTAGAAATCGTCTCCAGCTTTGGCAGTCTTGCGAAGCAGTCGTTTGGCAGATTTGACAGCTGCCTCTACCTTGCCATTGGCTTTGCTGTTGTAGGGGGATGTAACACTATGCTCAATGTCCCAGGTCTTTGTCATTCTCTTGAATTCTGCAGCTGTAAATTGAGCGCCATTGTCACTTACGAGCTGACATGGACTGCCATGTCTGGCAAAATGAGCCTTGAGTTTCTTCACCACAGTCTCAGCATCTACACGGTGCAGCTTGTCCAGTTCCCAATAGCCACTATAGTAATCCACTGTCACCAGGTAGTCTGTCTGGTTCAGGGAGAATAGATCAACAGCTACTTTCTCCCACGGCCTCTGTGGCACTTCATGGGACATGAGGGTCTCTTTGCCATGCGAGATTTCAAACAGCCTACAGGGCTCGCAGGTTGAAATCCAGTGTCTGAGTTCAGAGTTCATGCCAGGCCAATACACACTTTCCCGTGCCCTCCTGAGACAGCCTTCAACACCAGCATGGGATGCATGTATGTCTCTCTTTACTTCGGCCCTAAGTCCCTGGGGTACAACAAGGCGCTCACCTTTGAAAACGAGCCCATCATAAATGCTAAGCTCATCTCTCATGCTGTAGTAGGGGACCAGTTGGGAAGGAACGTTGGACTTGTCCTCAGGCCAGCCTTTCAGTATGGTGCTCTTCAGGGCTTGTAAGGTGTCGTCTTGTTCAGTCTCCACTCGAAACTTCTGTAACTTCCCTTGTCCAATGGGCAGGAATTGGACGGCATTGACAACTTCAAATTCATTGCAGGTTTCTTGGCCATCAGCTGGTAGGTATGATCGGCTCATCATGTCTGCCAAGTGCTGTGTGTGACCCGGAGAATACTGCACTTCTATGTCATAGGCCAGACTTCTGAGCAACATGCCTTGTAGACGTTTCGGTGCCCTGTCAAGCGGTTTTTTGGTGATGGCTTCAAGTGGCTTGTGGTCCGATCTGACAACTACCCGGCGACCAAAGGCAAAGTGGTGCCACTTCTCCAGTGCAAAGACAATAGCAAGCATCTCCTTTTCTATGGTGGCATAACGGGTCTCAGGATCTGTAAGTGCTCTGCTAGCGTATGCCAGTGGTCGACCTTCTTGCATAAGTGCGGCACCAATTCCCAGGCTGCTGGCATCACACTGTATAACAAGCTCTTTGTCAGGACTGTAGTAGGCAAGGATTGGAGCCTGGGTGACTAGTTGTTTCACTTCATTGAAAGCTTTGTCTTCAGCATCGCCCCAGTACCATTCGACTCCCTTTTGTGTAAGTCTTCTGAGTGGTTCCATTACTTGGGAAAGCTTTGGAAGGAATTTTGCAAGATAATTAACAGTTCCGTTAAGTCTTTCAATGTCCTCCTTGGTCTTCGGTGTTTGCAGCTTTAGGATAGCTTCTACCTTACTTGGATCTGGTTTCAGACCCTCTGTAGTGAGTTGGT